ACCAGTTGCTGATGTTGCTCCAGCGTGCAAAAAGAAAAAATTCAAAAATCTGCCTACCATGCGTGTTTTACTAAAAGATACCCTCTACTTAGACACCGTCATCTCTTCTAATGGCAGCCTACATAGGAAGGAAACAAGTTGAGATAAGTAAATAATGTAGATTCATCCAAAAGTCCAAAAGACCAAAAGCCCGATCGCGTTGCATGTTCAATTAGCTGTGAGGCAGTTGAAGTTTGAAGTGGACATTTTAAGAAAATCATATTCTTGACGAAATGAGCCAAGTGAACTGATCTAAAATACCCAATTCACTTAGCCCTACAAGGTATACAGAATGAAGTGAAGTGCCACCAACAACAAAAACGGGAACAACTGAGGCTAAACAACAACAGCAAATGAATGCACACGTTTGCGGTCTGCTGCTGTGCTTTTAATAATGTTGTGCTGGGCATATGAGCGGCGATAGTGATGCTGTACTGTGGTCCTGGACACAGGTCCTGGCCTATATTGTTTTTGCTAGCACTGCTGCTGATGACTTAATGAGCATAATAAGCTCAGCGCCAAAATTACCTTTTAAAATTAACATGATGCTCTCTAGCACGCGCGCGCCCACCGTTCCCTCATCATATTTCTATTTGGACACGCAATGAACACACACAAAGCCACACACGTGGCTCCAAATGGATAAAACAGTGATTATAGTGGCATAGACAAGCGGTTACATATTTAAATTAAGATTTTAATGCGCATATAAAAGGCAAACGCAGCTGAGTCTAGTTAACCAGTGGCGACGGGCGCTAGGAGGGAGCTAACTATGGAAAGGAAATTTAATTGCAAATTAATTAGTTCGCTTTATGATTAACTTACCGGTAAGTAGCTTAAAGCATGTTTGAGACTTAGTGTGATGTGATATGAGGTTTCGCTTGAACTGAAAACTATTCATGTTGCATGCAATTGAAGGAGTTCCTTGTTCAGCTTCATAAGGCGAAAATGCGTATATACAGTTATGTTAAAGTGTGTGGGGAAGACTAATTAACTTTAATTAATTGCGCATTATTAGCGGCATAGCGACATAGCTCCGCCGACATATCTCCGCCCAGTACATTTTGCCTGCAGAATTATGTCGTTCTTTTTCGGCGAAATTATGGCGTTTGAAAACGACATAACTCCGCCGTTTTTTGCTGGAGAAATTATGACGTTTGAAAACGACCTAACTCCGCCGTTGATCATGACGCCGCGGGGATATGTCGTTTGTAGAGCCGCGGAGATATGTCGTTACCCCTTATTGGCAGTTAATCTGTCTGAAAGCAAACTTAAATGGGTCTTCAAGGTTTCTTTAAAAATGTTTTATATTTACCTACAGCTCGCAATTAATTCAGTCTCTTAAGAAAAATTCGAGTCGTTAGTGAATAGATTTATTATTTTTTATCCTGTCTTAAATATTTCAACGATTATTTCAATATTTGTTGATTTATTAATTTAAAAAATGCCTAAAAAGTGCAGTTAATAAAAATAACTGAGCAAAGCGAAGACATCGATAATACTGGTTAGTATAAAGTAAATTTAGATTCCATTAAGCTTGGCGACCGTGAATATATTATTTTGTTTCCCTAGCAGCTGCATAAAAAGCTCTATAATACATTCGACTTTTAAGACAAGATTCTTGATTCAATCTCCGTTATTAACAAGGCAGTCAACTGTAGCAAAGAGAATAAATATATGAAAAATGATATCTGCCCATGCCATGCCTACCCGTCAGATTTAAGTGCAAGTCAGGATTTGCTGTGTGGCTTATTGCCCAAGTGCCTGGTACGGAGTCGGGCAAAGTCAGCGCAGCGCTCTGCACGCATCATTCGCCTCGCGATGCGCTTGTCAATAACTTTTTAACGAATTTTTAAGGAGACGCGTTGCGTATACGCAATGTATGGCGCAAGAAAACGCTCCTTAATATATATGCATATGTGTGTCTGCGTGTGTGAGGGCCAACTGCTCACCATCATAATCAAATTAAAGCATAATTTTTTACGACGTCATAGCCATAAATATGAACGATGCGAAATTGTGCAAAATATCGAATCGAAAGGAAGCCAAGCCAAATACGAGCGCCTGGTCCTTGAGCAAGTGATTTCCCATTTGCGCTAAGCTGCGAGCTGTAGCTACCAAAAACTGGGCTGGCGTGAAAAATAAAATCAAATGTATAAATCATTTATGCCATGCTTTAAAATTGAATACACATTCGTCAGCAATAAATCGCAGCAGCAGCAGCAGCTGCCGAGGAGTCAGCAAGGAGCTGAGCTGAGGTCATGTCCCGGACCCTGGACTCGCGCTGGCTGGTCACATTTGCGTGTCCGCCGCCTTTGGGAAATTGCTACAATTTGTTTCATATTTCATGTGGCTGCTGCTGCTGCTGCTGCTTCTGCCGCCGCTGTTTGAGTTGCTGCCACACGCTGTGTTGCAAAAATTTACCACTTTGCGGTTTTTCTCACCGCGCGCACGAGTTTTTCTTGGTCTGCAAAACTTATATTTGAATTATTATTGGCGCGCCGGCACATTGGAAAAGCCAAACGAAAATATCATAAAGAAAATGCCTGATTTGCATACAGAATGCCACAGCAAATGGTTTTTTACGGCTTATCGCTGCACTTGAAATTGCATCCTATGCGTGTTGCATACTTCACAGCGTGAACCAATTAAGCCACGTGTTTTTCCTGCTTGAGTGTTGCATACTCTTTCGATCGATTGTATTATAATCAAAACACTCGGCACAACATAAATTTCAGGTAGTTCACGGTTCTAACGTGAGCCTGAACCTGTGTTTTCATATAAGTAAACCTTGGTTTTGATTTGTACCTTGATTCATGACATCACAATTCACAAATTATAATAGCGATCACAAGGAAATACAAACGTACCTATAAGAGATCAAAATCATATGTATTACAATTTATAAATCTCTAGCTTTTGTATCGACGGGGACATATAGACGAAAAAGGGTAGATCGACCCAGAACAAGAATGTATATACTTTTTGATATATGTAAAGTAGAGTACAACAATTAAAATGTAATAAAACGCACTAGAGTTGAGCATGGGAATTATATATCGAAGCAAAAAATTACTATCCTGTCGCAAGGCTTTATATATTTCTTCCGCCCAACCTATTTTAAACATATTTCTATCTGTAAAGCCCCTGACAGCTAGTCTCAGAAGCCTTCATCTAGGGATTTAGGGTTACTATTAAGTTATTTAGTAGCGACAAAGCAAAATATATTGCGAGCATAAAAGCAATTTAAAATCAGCCTTGCTGTTGAATAAAGTCCAATGGAAAAGCAGTTCATCATGAGTCACATATGCTTCCATTTTTTTCAATTCACAATTTTTCTTGTTGGTTTTATAAGGAATGAGCAGCGCGAAAACTTGTACTCAACCCAAACTTATGGATTAAAATCACCCGTTTAGCTCTTGAACAATGGTAATTATACTTGAAACGCTTTCAATTGCAATCTAAAAAGTCTCAAACTATTTTTGAACAACCATAAATTTCAGTCATTATCAATTTATGAGCATATTTATTTCAGCGCCTATATGCAGCGCAGAAAATATTTTTTAAGATCTTAGCATTTTGTAAATTTTATTTTCAAAAGAACACAGATGGTATGCTTTCAAACAATAAAACACAAAATAAATGATAAAAATCTTAAACATAAATATAAACAACTCTATATTTATGTGTCTATCAGTTATTACCAATTATATTAGCTTCCACCTTTTTTTTTAAATTTCAGCAAAGTCTGCAATCACTTGATATGACAGAAAATTTACTCAATTAAAACTAAATAATCGATCATTTTACGACACCAAATTGGGAATTTTGGCCTGAAGAATGAGTAATATCGGTCTATTTCATAAGACTGGGCACTTGACTTTTTTATATATGACCTGGTTTACCAACTTGGCAAATGTAATGGGGTAGATTCTTCGCCTTATTTGATCAAAGATCTTTAAAAACGAATTAAAGGGTAACTAAATCGTAAACAAAAAATTGTACACAAATGTTTTCCGTGGCTTTTTTATACTTAGGGGTGGAATTTCCTAAAATACGCTGAATTTGTTCATTGTGATAGTGTGACAATTTAAATTTTGACATTACACACAACAAGTACCCTTTAAGTTCTATGATCCACAAACCAAGCAACATACAGACGAATTAATTTTACAGACTTCACACATGATAAATTTGATGTTCCTGCCGTTGCTGGGCTATGCTAATGTGGGTTCAACATGCCCACACCCAGACACCCAGAGCCACAAATGCACACACATGTTGGCTCCTTTCTTAATTTTAAATGAAACAATGTGAAAGCGGAGACGTTGGCAATGCCGAGGCGACATGTCGTCGAAATGAAAATCAAATTTATGGTCTTAACAAGCGCTGTCAAAATTCGAGAATTGAGTGCCTCTGCCAGGGCAAAATCAGCGGGTCGGTTCAAAGGGGAGTCCTACAGCAGGGCAGGCAACCAAAAATGCATAGCTCCATCTGCTCCAGTTGCTGCTGCTGCTGCTGCTCGACATTTGCATCTCGCATATAAATCGCATTAGGGCCACGCAATTACAGAGTTTCAAACATGGAGCTGCACGTGGTTTCGGCTAGGCACAGGCAGCTGTGCATCTTTTAGATTCCAGCACAACACGATTCCACGCTTAATTGAAGGTAAAATTATGCATATGTGTCTATGCTGTGTGAGTGTGTGCGGGTGGTTATAGTGGAAGTCCCGAACACATGGATGACACAGATTTGCGACCCTGACACAGCACTAAACAAGCATTGTCCCAGCTCCATTTAATTGCGACTGTTCCCCACTTGAGATAAGAGTCCAACTTCTTATCGCCATGCGAAAAACAAAAGTAAATACTTAAAAGCAGCTATCGTTAAATATGAACTTTAATTTACGCAATGCAATATGCGAATTGTAAATACATCCAAGTCAGGAATCACAAAATGTGTAGAGTATGGCGACAGGGGAGATTAATATCACATTGGTCTAATACTAAAACAATAATACAGAGTAGAAACCACCATTTTGGCGCTTAAATTAAAATGGGGCACTTGTACATAATGTTGATCTTCGCAATATCCTTTTCGCTTAGGCCCGTGCGTTGTCCGATCTCAGCTGTTTCATCGAGCGGCACAATCGTGTCCTTGCCATTTATGGAGAAGGCGCCAGGACGATAGTGCAGGCAGCTGTTGTAGTCGTAGCCCATGTCGAAATCGGTAACCACGTTCGCGGAATACTTTTTGAAGTTGAACTCCTTGCCAGGCACAATGTTCTCCTCAATGACTTCGATAAAGTCGTCGCGTAGTGCTGAGCTCTGTTGATGGTAGAAGCCCAACGCATGCATGAGCTCGTGCAGTACGGTGCCGGGTCTAAAGCAGCCTTCTCCTATGGGATATATCTCCAAGTTCATTTGCTGAGGCTTGCCCTGATAGCCGACGGACGTGTAGCAGCCACCGGAATCCGCTGTTATGCTCAAAAAGGCAACATCATTTTCATTGGCCTCCCTGAACTGCACGCAGGTCGTCTCCTCCAGTGTCTGAATACCTTGAAGAATGGCCTGCCTGTGGGCGGCATCAAAGTCATCGGATATTTTGTAAACAAGCAAACTGTTGGGCCAACGTTTAGTTGTATCAATCAGACCATTGCGACCCACTGGACCCTGCTCTAATGTCAGCTGCTGTTCCTCTGTCAGCTGCATGTCGCCTTCCACAAATCCAGCTGTTTCCTCAGGATCCGCGCTGGGACTCCAGGGCACTGGTACTGCTCCACACTGCAGCAATTGGATGGACAAAAATATTAGCACCACAGTTTGATAGGAATGCATCTTGCTCGCGACGTTGCTAAGAATTGACTGACGCATGTGCGTAGTTAACACTGGTCATAAATATGCGACACTCGCCAGGTGAGTCCGGAGATTAGATACAAGCAATTGATTGTGCTTAGATAATGCTGTTGGACGCCTATAAAAATAGGTTTAACTCAATTGTGTGGGTGACTGTCAGTATGATAGAGGGTATCCCCTCGTGGGTCGCTCTTAAAAATACCGCAGCTGTTGCTAGGGGACATATATCCTGGAGGATGAGTCGAAGTCTAATCGACGTATGGTTCCTTCTGAACGAAAGTATCTGCAGACAACTTTTCTAGAGATCACCTAAAGATGATACCGTGGAAATACATTTCTGGCTTATGGTTTCAAAGCGTATTACAGGGCATCTCATAGTCGATACAGTATTTGGAAATCCTTACTAGAGTTTAAAAGTCGCTAAGTCGAGAGTCAACCTCGTTGTCTTCATTGAAAAGATCTAATTTTCTTAGGCTTGATGAATCAAATGGCGCCAACTCATCATTTCAAGTACAAAGATCGAATGTTTGTCAAATTCCCATTTACACTTTGGTCTCAAAGTTCTACAGAGCATACGTCATATGTCAAATGGCACTATCATAGCTTTATGGCTTAATTGAAATGCTATCATTATAATCAATGGTGTGATTGGATTCTCAAGTGCTCAACGAGCTATACACAAATTATGTTCGACTTCCCGAACACTACAGAGGATGAGTAATTACCACCTAAACTTTGGCGATAAGTTACAGATACGAAAACACGAGTAATAGCTCTACTAAACAAGTTTTCGGACTTGGATGGCACTTATCGTCAAATTTACAAGGTGACAGGGAGAGAGAGCGAAAGAAAGACAGAGAGAGCGACAGAGAATCAGTTGGAACTCGCTTAAACCTCTTGGAGTACTTTTTGTTATCAAACGAAAGCCGGCGACATTATAAGAAATGACGGCATGTGTCGCTACAGAAATAGATTAAGCACCGCAAAGTGCTATGTCAGTATTTGGTATTATCTGCATTAATTCTAGCCAGTTTTAGCAGACAATGACAAATTCGCACTCCAGTGAGGGGAACTTGAACAGGATGGGATTCTCTCTAGACGTTATCTCAAGGCGATTGTCAAATTATAAAAGCATAAAGTGTGTAATTTCACGGCAGTTAGAAATATTTTTAATTTTGTTATTGTACCCTTTAAGGTGGTATTATAATGATGTCATATGCAAACCTGTCTCTTTCGCTTTGCAGTCAGAACCTATGCCAGAAATGGCCGGATCAGATACTATGTCACATAGAAAACTTCGATCGGAAATGAAATCCAGAAATGAACACTTTGTTTCTTTAAAAGCAAAAAAACATTGGTCGAAACATGACTTTTATGGCCACGGATTCTGTTTACCCAGATATCTTACCCAAATACAAGCTTCACAATTCTCCTCACATATTTGCAAGACCATAAGACACGTATCTTTAAGAGTATTTAATCTATGGCGTGCCAGAGATTGCCGTACCTGTATTTTGTGTTGAAAAGAAACACCCTGTAGACACCTGAGAAAAAGCAAGTAAGACATATAATTGCATTCTTTTAGGAGCGATTATATTTGCTAAAATATACAGATATATTTGCAAAGAATTCAGGAAATCTATAGAAGCGGTGAAGTGAATTCTTGCAATTAGTCTTTAAAATACTTGTGATTAACTATTAAATACTGGTTCTAAATACCGAATATGTTGGCTCGCTGATATCTACGCAGTCCTATGGTCTCGAATATTTAAGTATTGATTTTAATATTTCATAGAGGAGGAAATACCGTCCCTTTTTCTTTTATCTTTGATGGGTTATCAGCCACAATGCATAAACAATGCATAACATTTTAAACATTCCTCGGACACTTGTACATAGTATTCAATTTGTTGATATCCGCGTCACTCATTTGCAGTCGCTGTCCCATTCGCTTTTCGGCACCCTCTTCCAACGGCACAATGGTCATTTCGCCGTTTTTGGAAAAGCCATAGGGTGTGTAGTGCATGACGCTACCGTAGTCATAGGTCTGGTCAAAGTTATCCACCTTATTCTCGTCATATTTCTGGAAGTTGTGCTCCTTACCATCCTGAATATTTTCCAAGACTATTCGAACATAATCATCACGATCTGAAGAGCTCTGTTGATGATAGAGGCCCAGGGCGTGTAGCATCTCGTGCATAATTGTGCCCATGCGGTAACAGCCCGTGTCCAAGGGATAGTCTTGCAAATTCATTTGTTGAACTCGGTTTTGGAAGCCGACAGCTGTGAAGCAGCCGCCTGGTTCCGAGGTTATGTTTACATAATAATTCTGATCCTTCGAAGCCTCCTTGAAGATCAGGCAAGAGCTTAGCTCGATTTTACGAAGGCCGATGAGTATGTGATTGCGGTGTTCCTGGTCTGTTTGTATATAAATTTAATATCATGAGCTGCGGCAATAATACTATGCAACCTACCAATATTGCTATTGATGTAGTAATAAACGATGCGATCTGGCCAGCGATAGTTTTCATCGCGTAGTCCATTTCTCTGTTCAGGGCTGAACACCATGTCACCTTCGGTATAACCAGCTGTCAGCTCCGGATCGACTTCCGTGCGAGCTGCTGGTGCTCCCAAAACATTATTTATCAGCAGAAGGATAAAGCCGAATATTAATGACAGCCTCATGTTCTTCGTTCAACGGACTACTGTGGAATGGGAGCGTTTATCGCTGACTCAATTCGATTACGATGTCCAATGTTTACTTGTGAATTTAATAACCAACTAATTTATCTTTATAGCAGATATTACTGCAGTTCTTTATTTACAACGTGTATTTATTGACCGCAAACTATCAATTGGAGGTAGATCTTATCTTATCGCCGAATCAAGCGAACCCTCAATTCGATTAGGACTAGTAGAAGGCTCTAGAAACAATTTCGGGATTGATGTTTACTTGAGCAGGTCAATCTATTCATATATTTCCCCTTTAACTAATCACACCGAACACTCGGAAAAGAAACAATATCGTTTGGTCAGTTCAGCGTATGTAATTAGGATACGTGTCAAACGTTCCTTGGACACTTGTACATAGTATTTAACTTGTTGATGTCCGCTTCACTCATTTGCAGTCGCTGCCCCATTATCTCCTCCGCGCCTTCCACCAAAGGCACAATGGTCATTTTTCCATTCTTTGAGAATGCGTAGGGCGTGTAGTGCATTACGCTGCCATAGTCGTAGTCCTCGCCGTAATTGTCCACCGTCTCATTGTCGTATTTGTTAAAGTTGTGCTCCATGCCCTCCGTGATATTCTCCTCGGCAATGCGAACGTAGTCATCACGGTTCCACGTGCTCTGCTGATGGTAGAACCCCAAGGCGTGTAAGAACTCATGCACAATAGTGCCCAGCCGGAAGCAGCCCTCGTCCAGTGCATAGTTCTGCAGATTAAGCTGTTGGACGGCGTTTCTATGGCCCACATATGAGTAGCACCCGCCGGCTTCCGATGTGACATTCACATAGTAGGGCTGATCGCTTGTGGCTTCCTTAAAGATTAGGCACGAGTTCGCCTCGAGGATGCGTATGCCACGAATAATGTGATTGCGATGTTCCTGATCTACAGCGGATACCACAAAGTTTGCATGTACTCAAATTTATAAGTAAGGTATTATGTCTCACCAATGTAGCTATTGATGAAGTAATAGACAATTCGATTGGGCCAGCGATAAGTTTCATTGATCAAACCATTCCTCTCCTGGTTCCCCAGAATCATGTCACCTTCGGTATAGCCCGCAGTTAGCTCCGGATCGGTTTCCACACGTGCTGCAGGCGCTGCAAGGCATATCTGTGCTGACACAAGGAGCAGTAAGATTCTGGGTAAGCCCCTCATGCTGACGACTGGCTGTGACTGGTGCGCCATATCAATTCCGAATATCGTCAAAGTGGGTTTAGAGAATCGTGAATAGCACCTTATTTACGACCCTAAGTAATTTTATATTTATAACTAGTATTTACAGCTTGGGAAATTAACCGGCATTAGGCTTTAGATCTTATCTAATCGATGCAATATTGGCAAACTGTTGTTCATGGGTTCAAAGATGTTTTGGAAATATAAATTCTCTTAGCCTTTAAAAAATTTGCCTGAGGGAAAAGAACTACTTAATTCTTTCTGATGATTACAACACTTGATTGTTTTTGTTTTCATCCATAGAATTGGGCATATAAAATGCATATTATTGGCATCGACATCAAAATGTATCTAATGCATTCTATAAAAGTTTACACCCCTTTATCTAATCTATTCGCTAATTGCCAAGTTAAAGTTACAATGCGAGTCCCATAGACTACTTTTTATATATATCATGAGGGGCTATCAATGCATGGCCCGCGTTTAGCTGCTGTTTCAAATTCAATTCATCATTCGACTCAATTTTATACTTAATTTTTATACCGAAGATATCCGATAACTCATGTTTTTTTCATTTTGGCTCCTATCGTGACCTTTTATGACACCTTTTGTCAACTGCCGTGTCGGTTTCCAAATCACAATCCCAATCGCTTACCGAGCTCGCGAATACTTGCGAAGGCGGAAGGCCTGCCAAAATTAATCTTAACACAAATGACAGCGACGTAGAGTTTACCTAATTACATTTGTCAACACAATAAACTGATTAAATTTGGGCGGGCGATGCGGAAGAAGGCATGGGAAAGTGGAAAGGCGGAGAGTAAATGGCAATAAGGCAATGAAATTTATCATCATTAAGTTGGGAAAGAAAAGCGCAAATATGAAAAGAACTTTAGATTGCTTTAGGGAATATATGTTATATGAAAGCCATAAAAGACATTAGCGAAGCCTCAACATTGCTTATTAGAGTGCTGTATTTAGGATAGTTATAAATGAGATTTTCTGTCGACTGGATACCGCTTACTACGTGCTTTCATGCAACTGCGTAGACTGCAAAAGCTGCTTGTCAATTAAATGGAATCATTTGCTTCGATGCCAGTAATTAACTAATTCAGGCGTGCAGCTATTTCAGTCAAAACTTTGCTGGTTTCGATTGGTGTAATTCTGTACTTTTGTGATTAAAATAGTTTTTACTATTTTTTAGCATTATTATTGTTATTGTCATTACCAAGAATATTTATAATAAAAATACAAAATGTTCACCTATATATACTACAAATAAAAAAAAACATACAAATAGATAAGCTATAAACCTTGCTTTGTATAACACTGTCATATATGGGCTTTAGCTAAGACAATACCAAAGATAAGCTTTTGCATCCGTGGATCTGTATGGAAGGGCTTACTTAAATTCCAGTATTTAACTTATTGATACTGGCTTTGATAGTTACCAACTTACAGCTTATCCATTAAAGAAACTATCGATAGTATAAAATTAAAAGCTACAAAATTTAAAATTGGAATATTATTAGGATTCATTGAACAATTTCCAGTTTTTGAAAGATATCGCAAGCTGTCATCCAAAAAATTGCTAATAATATAAAGTATACGGCGTTTAAAATATAATATTTACGCCGAATGTACGTTAAAAACGTTCGCAGTTAAGCATCAGTTTCCAATTACTTACAGCTGAAAATAAGACTATCTCGAATTCGAACGATTAAATTAAGAGTAACACAAATAAATAATTTTGTTGATCGCATACTCCTTCATAGCTGCAAGACCATACAGTATTAAAGGCAACAAACTCTTATCTTAAAACATCATAAACTTAATTACTGTGTCCACGTTTGGTTGATGTCTGTACTTATCTATTGCGTTATTCTTCCAGCTGAAGGTATAAAAATCTCGTGTTCCACAGTTTGTAAATTCATTGTTAAAATGAACTTTCACAAATTTTCACTTTTGGTCTGTCTGCTTTACGCCTTGGACACTAGCCAGGCGCTGTCGACAGTTCAACATGAGGCTCTGTCAGAGGACGATATGCGTCTCACGCCAGACCAATTGGACCACTTGGAGGGCAACGCAAAGTCACGCAACGTGATGCTGTGGTCGGGCTACTACTGGCCCAAAAAAGAACTAGTATACAGGATCGAGGGGCTATGTAGGTGTAACTTTAGATATGTCAAGTGATTACTATAATATCCTATACTCCACAGCTGCCTCTGACGTAAGGTTAATTGAGAGAGCCATGTCTGGAATTTCATCCCAGACTTGTGTGCGCTTCCGCCGCACATATAATCAGAATGAGCCACAGGTTGTTATACAAAGGAAGGATTCAGGCTGTTGGTCCAATGTTGGTTATCTAGGCAAACGTCAGGAACTAAATCTTGGTAAGGGTTGCATGACAACAGGCATCATACAGCACGAGCTACTCCATGCTCTCGCCTTGCTGCACATGCAGAGCGATCCCAATAGAAACAAGTTCGTTAAGATCGCCTTTGAGAACATCGAATCTGGCAGGGAGAATAACTTCGCCATCTACAATTCAAAGGATGTCGGCGACTTTGGACTTGGCTACGATTATTACAGTCTAATGCACTATGGACCCTATGCCTTCTCAAAGAACGGCAAACGCACCATAATTCCATTACAGAGTGGTGTCAACATTGGTCAGCGTAACGGCCTTAGCCCCAAGGATATTTTAAAACTGAAACGCATATACTGTTGATTGCATAGACTTAAGAAACTCTCGAAAGATTCTAGCATTAAATATAATTTTAACTACAACATTTATTATGACAAACTCGTAAAATGCAATATAATTGAAAACAATAAATGTAATAAGTATAAATGTTCTTAATGGTGAAAGAATGTAAGCCTTGTAGGCTTAGTTTTAATTCTTGGTTGATGTAAAGTCTATAACAAACATTTTATTGTCCGCAGCAATCATTTCTTTTTCTGAAATTAATAGAAAAAAAATCCAAAAGTAGACTAAGTTATTTTTACTGGAACGGTGGGAGGGGTAGTATTATATATGGATATGTGTATACTATAATAGATTGGGTTTATTCACCTCCTATCTTATATCCGAGATATGTCTACAAATATTCTGTTAGTTAACTAATCTGCGATTTACTTGTTAAGAGAGTAAGAGCTAAAAACCTGAAATTCCGACTGTGGTTGTGATATAGAAAAGTATGCAAGATGGAACTATGTAAATTTGATAATTTGGAACTATTCTAATGGAACGTGAAAAATAAGCTAACAACATACGTAAATATTATATCAGTTTTCGAAAATTAATAATGAAAAATAAGAAATTAATTTGATCTTGAGTTCGAGTTTTTTAATCTCTAACTGTAATAGTCCGGACGGATATTTTTGTTCGACTAAGCTGCCGATTCGGATATATATATGTATATTTTTGTAAATTTCTGTGACAAACATATATATGTATATAAGGACTTCGACTTACAATATACATGTATATATGTGCAATTATAGCATCCAGTTTTGCATGACTCACCCGTCTTGAAATCTTCGGAAGTTGTCCTACGATGTCTTAGCTTCATAAAAAAACCAAGTACTATCAGCGCTAGCAGCAGGACGATTGCCATTAGGCAGGTGATCTTCCAGTTCTTTATGAAGCCGTAGTCAGTCATTGTGGTTTCTTGAGGCTGCGTGGTTCCGGTTGAGCTGAAGCTGTCGGATTCGGTGGTCACTGGCGGCTGCGTTGTTTGGGTAGAGCTGGAGCTGTCTGGAACACAGGTCTGATCACTCGCCAGGCTGTAGCCGCGACTGCAGCTGCATTTGCCCGGAGTCTCGCAGAAACCATTTGGACAGCCAGTGGAGCAGATTGGAGCACAGCGGCCACTCGACTCGTCCAGCTGGTAGCCGGCATCGCAGCTGCAAGTCTCTGGGGCTATGCACTGTCCGTTCAAGCATTTGGTTGAGCAGCGCGGCACACAGCTGGTGAAATATAAGCTAAAGATCGGATGCTTATTTAAAAGCTTAACTCACCCCTTCGATGGCATGTGCAGCAGATTTTCATAGCCCTGATTGCAACTGCACGTATTGGGGCTCACGCACGATCCGTTGCTGCACGGCTCCTTGCAGATGGGTTCGCAAGAAATCTTTTTTGTATCAGTCGTAACATACCTATAGCCATTGCAGCACGCTTTGACAACCTTAAATATTATTTAATAAATTCAACTTTTTTCAAATTATTTCATGACTTACCTGCGGTTTCTTTTTCCCAGCTACATACACTGCTTTATCACAAAAACTTGCCAGTAAAACCCCGGGCAGTAGTACAGATATTATTAGAACCCGTAATGCCAGCATTATGAGCTGTTGTTCGGCCACCGTAAGAAATCGAACTGACCGCTTGTCAAAGCACGAGAAGAGCTTTATGCATTTTGAATCTCGCTTGAAACCCGCTCGCTCATAAACGCCCTTTCAATAAACAATAATATATGCAATACGCACTTTCTTATCTTGTAGTAATTTCCCATTATATGTCAAGTTCTTATCATTAAAATAACTAACTATATGAGTGGTTGTAAAGAAATATTGTTCACTGCTGTAATTCTTGGACCGATACTTGAAATATGCAGAGATGATAATATTCATAGGAAATGAATAAAAATATATGTTAGGTAGCTGCACTTACCATATAAGTCACATAATAGTAACTATACTACATTAATAATTATTCCTTTGGTAGAGATCAGAAGCAACTGATCGATTCCAGCGCAAAAATAATACTTATAAAACAATTGAACTGTAAAAAAAAGGGTAGCTGCAGAACCTTTACAAATTGATAGGGTATACAATTGACTTTATTTTTGGGTTGCACGAATCAGGTTAGGCACCCATGGGAACAAATTATAATATTATTCATTTATTTAATATAAAAATTGGTAAACTCTTGAGTCATGCACACACAATAAAACAAATCAGCCTAAGCTAACCGATACTAAGACTATATATATATTTCCAACTGAGGAATACAAAACACACATGAATAAATCAGTTATAATTGTACTGTTTAAAATTATTTTAAAATCGCCAATATACCTGCAGAAATGTTCGATCAGATATGTATGACGTTGTATTTAAGCCCAGCTTCAGTTTCTCAAGCTACCAATTAACCGATCCGTATTATCGTATTACGACTACTCCGACCGATGATTTTATATTTATCACATCGATTTTGTCCATACCCTAGTGTATTATTTATGTCATTAAAACAGCCAAATATTAAAGGTCAGTACATTTTCCACATCTCCGATTGAGAGGCTTGCTCTAAAGCGTACTATGTTTTCCACACTCTGAACTTTGAAATACAACTTGTTTGCTTTTCATATGAAAGATTTAATCCGTGCACATGTCCAACACGAATTAATTCTTCTTCAACCCCCCACAGTTTCATTTTTGTATAATCTTCTTCAAGCACATAGCAAGTATGTAAAAAATTAACAAAAAGTTTGGTACACACTCATAAGTTTAAACAATATACACGATGCGTGTTTAAATTTATACTTCACATTCTTATAAATTTATATGAGAGGCTTAATGTATTTATATATATAATGTATGGATGTATGAGGCTTGACTACGGTATATTTAACCGGAAAACTCTCTTGACTGATGTACTCAAGTATTGAGATAGGTGAGGATCCTATGAAAAAAAACAATTTGGAAGCTCTTGACATCACAATAAACCATCTGCGTCATGTTTCATAACATTTAATTATAAAATGCATAGTGTTTGTTGTTCTCAAACCTGTGTGAGGAGTACTCGCCCAATAAAGGGGGATAAGGTTGGACCTGATGCAAAAGAGGAGTACCTGCTCCCACACATTAACAATTTATTTACTACGATTCCGGGCAGAACGTCCGGAAGCTCCGAAAGCTTCTGATATACATTTTTATCGATTTTATAAAATATAATTTTAAAAATTGCAATGCTCAAGATCGACTCGTTTAAACTCACGTCAGCTAAGATCGACTCGCTTATGGTCAGTATATATACTTTGTGTTGAGATGCCTCACTTCTGGCTGTTACATTATTTTGCACAACAATTGTACTTTACTCATTTCAGATAGGGTATAAAAAAAAGAACACTGCCCAATTTAATGAGTATCATTCATAGTTTGTGGTCTTTAAATACCCAAGCACGACATTTGCAATTCCAAGCGACAGAAATCAAGTGTCTCCCTTGCCCTTTGTTCCACACTTTATTTGGCTCCCTTTCCTGGCTGTTAATCTACAAAACAAAGAGCTCCGGCACAACCGGTAAAGGAAATGTTCGCATTTGCCTTTGCTCCTGACACTAAGAATTGAATATTTAGTGGTCGTAATTAAAAATTAGCGCTCTTCAGCCAGAGCCACGAGCAATGCCCATGGCCATTATCCCAGCTGCAGCTAGTTATCTGTAAGTTGTGCCTCAGTGTGTCTATGAGCGTGTCCTGCTGAATATTTGGGTGTGTATGCACCTGAGTTTTATATACAAGTATATTTGGCTTTTAATGCCAAACTGCCTGCAACTAGTTGAGGTACCTGCTCCACCTGCAGCCCAAACACACACACACACATACACAAAACGGATGTCGTAACATTTAATTTATGCAGGCAATGCATTTGCGTTTTTAGCTACATCTAAAGATGGCCAACAGGAAAGCTGTAGTCACAGTGCAAGCGGACAGCCAGACAAGCTCTTTGATTCATTCAGCTACATTTACAAATTCTGCTATTCTAATGGATAAACTCAGACCACAGATAATGCCAACTCTGGACAATGCATCTTCGGTAGCCGTCATGGGATGACTTGACGTAGAGTACCACAGTGCTAGCTCATCGCATGAATATACATAATTGATAACAGCATTGATTGTTCTCAAATTATAGATTACAAATAATACGGAAAAGATTGTCTCCGAATAGCAAATGCCATGTACGCAGCTCCAAGTTATCGTGGCATACATTTGAAATACCACAGAAACACATATTAACAATCGATCTCTCACCTAATACAGTGGCTGTGTTTCTCCTTTCTGCAGCCACACACTATAAACTCAAAATGCATTAAAAATTAAATAAGTGTTTTTTTGTTTGTTTGTGGGAATAGCCATTTAATAATTTATTTTATTTGAAATAAAATTAATGCTTAGAAAAGCTAAGCCAGCAAAAATGTTAAATAAAACAAAAAACAAGAGGCTCTAGTCGAGAGCTCCCGACTAGGGAATACCCTGAACCCTCTTCTTCCAATATATATATTATATTTTAGAAGCTATATGTCAAGTTTGGTGACTCTTATATCAGCGCGGAGTTATGTCGTTTTGGAACGTCATATCTCCCCGCGGAGGTTTGTCGTTTGGAACGTCATATCTCCGCCTGGAGTTATGTCGTTTTGGAACGTCATATCTCCGCGCGGAGTTATGTCGTTTTTGAACGTCTTATCTCCGCGCGGAGTTATTAGTTTTGGAACGTCATATCTCCGCGCGGAATTATGTCGTTTTGGAACGTCATATCTCCGCGCGGAGCTATGTCGTTTTGGAACGTCATATCTCCCCGCGGAGGTTTGTCGTTTGGAACGTCATATCTCCGCGCGGAGTTATGTCGTTTGGAACGTCATATCTCCGCGCGGAGTTATGTCGTTTTGGAACGTCATATCTCCGTGCGGACCTATTACCCGAGAGCTATTACCCGGGGTAGGTTCGAATATCAAAACTTTTTTAAATATTGTTTTGAAAATCTCGGGTAAATATAATCTGATTTTATAATATTATACCTTTTTGAATTAGAAATTTAAAATTGATGGGTTGGAAAAAGTTGTTGACAAAAAAACGTTTGGTTGGTATAATCAATCTTTTTTGTTGATTTTTTTAGACTATCTCGGCCAAGTAATCTCAGAGTCGAAGCATTCGCCAACCCATACAAGAGATCCGCTGATAGGTGTGTAGTCAGAAGGCTCAAGAAAAGATTCTTTAGAGACCTTCTCCAACCACGACACAGGAGAAGTCCTAGAACCCACCGACTACCTACGTGACGGTGCAGCCTTACTCAAAGAAGACGGCTTTGACATTTGTCCACGATAAAGCCTGAGGAGCCAACCAGGATTGGCGAGATACCACCTAAGTTAACGGCTTTTTAATAAAAATGTATGCTATTTTTTGATTCAATACAATAAACATATATAAGTTAAAAAAAAAAAAAAACTTTTTTGACGATTTTTTTTTAAACTCTCGGGTAAATATATCCTGTTTTTGAAATACGGCATTCATTAAAAAAAAAGTTGTTGGCCAAAAAACGTTTCGCTTGCAAAGTCCAGCTTTTTTGGTCCAGCTTATCTCATGTGAGATTCATTAAATTATACTAAACGAAGTACTGTCCCAATCGAGCTCTCTCCACTGCATTTATTCAAGCCATATAAATAGGTAGCTTTATCTAAATCAATATACTTACTTTGCATACCCAAGCCATTTGCATGACATAATATTAAACAAGTAAGAGGTTCTAGTCGGGAGCTCCCTTCTCTTCTTCCAACATCAAATGCATATATACATATATTCTATTTTAGAAGCTATATGTCAAGTTTGGTGACTCTTATTATTTACCTAAATTGCCCAAACAACAGGATATCGATATCGATTTTTATCGATTGCTTGGAAACGGAGTAAGTTATCGATTATCGAAAAACAAACTCGATCTGCGCGGGACTAGGAGCATCTACATCTAAAATTTCAAGTCCCTAGCTTTTATAGGTTCTGAGATCCTTGCGTTCATACATACGGACAGACAGACGGACTTGGCTAGATCGACTCGGCTATTGGTGCTGATCAAGAATATATATACTTTATGGGGTCGGAGATGATTTCTTCTGCCTGTTACAAACATTTGGCTTGCGCACAAATACAATATACCCTTGTACCCATTTTTAATGGGTTCAGGGTATAAAAACGATTTTTTTAAATGAACTGGCCTGCATTCTAATTGGAAACACAATTTTATACAAATATTTGTTACGGTAATTGACTTAAAATATTAAACATTTCTTGTTTTTTTCGTAAATGAGAAATGCGTGCAATGCATTTCCAAAGTAATAAAAAACATGTATCTTTGCATGAAAACCGAGAGGGAAGGCAAAGCAAAATTTAAATGTCTTCAAATCTTGTGGAAGAGCAGTATTTAAGCTCTGCATACCCAGAAAATGGAATTTGGATTTAAGATACGAGCACTTGCGAGCCACAACATCCAGGATGGGTAATTTTTGTGTTTTAAATGTATTTTGTGAGAATAATATAGAAGGAATTTAATGGGTTAAGGCGGAAAGCAGAACGCCTGGCCATCAACTATTTCCCAAGAGCAGTAAAAAAGTCTGCGCGTTGGCCAAGTTTTTGTGTGGTGGCTTTTACTCGAGACGATTCGTTGGCTACTGCGCTGCTTATGATCGTTCTAATTTTATGACATTCTATTTTCATGCATAGGCAAAGCAAACTGTGGCTGTGTGTGTGTGCGGGAAAGTGCAGGCACTGCCATTTCATAGTCAGACATGAATGCTGCGCTTTGTTGCTGTGCTACGCCTTTGTTTGTATTGCCCTCAGGGGTAAAGTTTTTAGGATAATAACTTCCTGCGACTTTACGAGGCAAGCAAAAGCCAAAACCCAGCAGCACAAGCAGCGTCAACTACAATCACAACAACAGCAGCAGCAGCTAAAGGGAAATGTGAATACTTAAGTCGGAGAGCGCCTCATATGAACAAAATATCTTAGGACCACACTTAAAGCACTCAACGAACAAGCATCTCAATGACACGAGTTAACAATGGTTGCATAAGCAAGAACTTAATCTTGGAATAGACTGGATTAAACGAACCAATCATTTATGTTAAATCTTTTTAGGCATATTTAAGCTTTAAGCGAAGAATAGCGTGGAAACTCTGCTCTAATATTCTCAAAACTTGCTCTGATACTTAGGCCTTTGTTTCAGCTTTTCCTAAACCGAAATATTATATATTTGATTGAATCTTAATAAAGTTTAATGTGGCACTGAAACTTTTTATACAAAAATCAATTTTAAAGCTTTTATTTAAAGAACAATCATAAGAAGCATATTATTTACATTTTGATTGCATTTCTTAACATATTCATTTTATGGTTTTTATTGGTACTAAAGCTCCAGCAGTTTACACTCGCTTTCAGCTAATGTCATTGGCTCAAAAACTAAGGCAAATGCCAAGAAATCAGCACATTAACACGTCGGGAGCGAGAAACTCTCAGAGATTCGCACCCGAGTAAGCCGCAGAAACTTTTGACGTCGAGGAAAACCACAAGGACAAGAAGCGGGAAAGCAGCGGCGCATTTAAGGCGCACAGACGGTACATCCATGACTGTGGGCATAATCTCAGACATAATTACACACAGCAGACAGAGAGACGCATAGAGGGAGAGAAAGAGAGAGACAGATAGAGAGAGACTGAGAAAGAGCCTGACAAATGCAGTCTCATATGAATGGGGATGCCTGCCGGCTGGTTACATTTGTACTTTCTATCTTTTTGCGATTTATATGTTGCTGCAGGTTTTTAGTTCAAGCGAAAGTTATATTAACGACTGCCTTAAAGGTGACACAAAGTAGACGCGGTTGCCAGCCCAGCGTTGCCAGACTTAGTGAGTTAGTCATTTAATGGAATTCGTTTGCAAACTTTGCGCAAAGCAACTATTAAAAGTGCATTTAAAATTAATTAAGCATACGACGTGTTGCAACTCGCAAGCCATGCAGCTAAATGTGAAACATGAAGGAGCTGCTAGCTAAGCTATGCCGAAGACCGAATACCCTTGACTCTTGCTTATATATTTTTCCTGTGAGAGCTTAATTTTCTATGAAAATATTTAAAAACTTGGTGAATATTAAAAACTGTGGGGAAGTTATGAATGATTTTTTTTTTTTTTTAATGATTTGTTTTATTTTTAAAACAAAGAAGGCCAAGTTGCATTAAGGCAGAAGAGTGGCAGATGTAGAAAACATACGTGAGAGTGTCAGAAATAACTTTTTCAACGACTTTCGACCAAAACTATAATTTTTCCAATCTGAAAGCATCTAAAAATACCGAAAAAACAAGAAAATAAAAACGAAATGAATAATAACATTTTAAAACTATGGCGTTCACCATTAAAACTTTTATCCGTCCGACCCGGCGTTTATTTGGCGCGCTTAATTTGATTTAACGCCTGTTTCTGAGTCTCTCGCTTGCTCTTCCATTTCGATTCTCTCATGGTGTCTCTGCAATCAAATCAAAATGCCAAGTTAAATGAAGCCAAAAGTTTCAATGTGTATGCGCCTTTTTGAAGCATTGCTGTGTGCTCTATGGACCCATGCACACACATCCACCCACACACAGATACATACACACACTATCTACCATCCATTTGGCATTCTGTGGCTCGCAGGCCGCTTAATACGCGGCTTCAAAAACTTTAGACACAATATCGCTAATGATAATTACAAGCTAAAACTTTTCCTACATTTGCTTGTACTTCTCTCTCGCAACGCTAAAACACACGCACACATACAAACACACACACACACCCACACACTTGTGTGTGCTTCTGCGTTTGTGTTTGTTTGTTTTTAACTTCAGTTGGCAACATCGAAGCATAAATATGAAATTTTTCAGTGGCTTCTGCAAAAGTTAAGCAAAACGAGGGCATTTCTGTAGAATTTTTATAAATATAAAAGTGCATTTTACGTGAAAATATACAAATGAAATAATGTATAATTCCCGACTTTGTTCAATGACTTGTACTCTCATTAAAATCAGATCTTTGTAAACTGTTACTTTGTCGACTTTTGGTATGGATATTTCTTGAAACAATACATGTGAAAAAAATAATGTCCTTTTTAAAGCACGTTAAAGACAATTAGGAGCTGACATTGAACGATTATTATTACAAGCTATTTTCCAAGCACGTAGAGATCTTTCTCAATAAATCAATAAATCCTCATAAAGCGTTTTGAAAATAATCTGCCATAATTAAACAAATTTTCGTAACGGCTGTCCTCAATCCCATCTTTATGAACCTTAATTTAAACTCTCTTCTGACCCGCTTTATAAGAACATAATAGTACACTTTGCTAGGGTATAAGAACTAATGCGAAATGTAGTCACATGTTCCTAAATATGTAATCCCTAATTATTTTAAAATTGAATCATTTAGTGATTAGTTGAAAGTATTTCTCAAGTTATATTTGAACGAATTGGATCTTGTTCATATCGAATAGCAACTGCAACGCATCCTCAACGCGTCATCGCAATTAAAAATCCATTTGGTTACCTGAAAACCACTTCAGGTCAGACCAATTCTGGCGACAATGTCAGCAGAAGAACTGTGTGTCGGCTGGCAATTTCCGATTCCTCTATGCTGTCTCATTTTCATACATGTCGGGCCGCAAATGAAGTGCAAATTGGCTTAGAGTGTGAGCCGATACAGCGTTTCGCCTAATTATCAGTGAGGGTGACGCTTGATGTGGTCTGAACCACGCCACTAACTCAACGAGCACCACCAAATATACGACCTTTAAAATCTATCCGTGCGAGGGAAAGAGACACGCATACTTTTATGGGAAAACTTTTGTTCATTTGTTGGGAAAAACTTAAATAGATTAATTAAGCAAAACGTTCGTAAAGCAGGAAATTGAAACTAAAATTATAGCAAAAGTGATAAGGAACAAGAGAAACGAAAAGAATGGGAGAGAATTTTCAGGATTTATGGCATTCCTGATGATCAGCTGTTTTTGAGCGCTTCTTAGTTCAGCTTAAAATGCCAAAGGCGAAAGTTTTCTGAACTTTGTGACAAGTCCCTGCACTCCCCAGAGCTCTGTGCCAGCAGCAGAACTCGTAAAAATGGTATTGCCTAATTTTGGGCTGACGCACACACAAACACGTCCACATACACACACACTCATAAATATAGGCTAGCAGCGATGCGCAAACGCATTAAAATTTAATTAAAATAAATTCGCCAATAATTGACTTTTAATATGCAATCATTTGTATGAGAGTGTGATGCGATAGCTTCGTAACGAAATCCGTAATTCTGAAATTCCGAAATATGCATCATTAACAAATTACAATTTATTAAATTGTGCAGACGGTAAGAGCTCCAATTGAAACCAGACGCTCAGCGAATCGAGGTGAGAAACGTGAAGTAAGAGAAGGCGCCCTGTAGTATCTGAAAGAGCGAGAGTTAGTGCATTAATATGAGATAGGAGTTCTTTATTACACCTTTAGGACAGCCTGCAGGCTGACTCGAAAGTACTTCAAGCCCATCATATAATAAGGCTTACAGTTCATCTCAATTGCTATCACTACGACCTTCAACAGTCGCAGATTCTCGTGAGGATTGGTTGAGTAGTAAAGCACCTGCTCCCAATTTGATTGATAGTACATCGTACTCAGAGAGTCTGTCTAAAAAACGAAAGATATTAATTGAATTGGACAAATACCAAATATGATTAAATAATAGATGAACATGGGACTAGAAATGCTTCCTTGTAATTCAAAAAATACTATTAAAAGGATGTACACGGCAATGTTTAAAGCCAGAGGATTTACGCAACACTAACCAAAATTAGCAAATAAAATTAAACTGAATGTTACCATATAAGCCAATTCGGAGCCCAGCTGACCCAATGAGAGCAATTCCATAGTTTTGGCGCCAAACCACATGGGATAAATGTAGGTGCCCGTTGGACTCTGCAAAACAATAGTTCCAAGTTTCGATAAAGTAATTAATCAATTCACAAACACTCGCACATACCACATATGTCTTAAATCCCAAGGCGCATAATAATATGGCACTGCAGGCGAACATTATGAATATTCGAGCCGAGAAATGTTCCTCAAGCTGCTCTCCAAACCGATTGAGAGCCACATTGCGGTGCAATGTTTGGACAAGCAGCTCGCGCAATTGCTGCGCCATATGGGGACGCCGTCGGGCTGCCAGTATGAGGTCTATAGACGACTCCATGTCGCGCTGCAATAGCACATATCGACCCTTCAGATGGGCGACCAGTTCGCAGAGCAGCGTCGTCTCACCAAACGCCATCGTATCAATGGACAGAGCCACCCAGACGCTGCTCAGCACCAGCGGCACAAATACGTACAGTGGCTGGGCATTGAAAGGTGTGATCATGGGAAACACATAGTCCTTTTGACCAGTTATCAGCATCACAATTGGCGCAATCATGTACCCGGAGACGGCAATCAGATACAAAGAGGCAACCACTCGGTTCGGCAGCATCTTGAGCTCGATTTGACGAAAGAGTTGCGGTTCCGCATCGCGATCCACATAGATAGAGCTGAAGTATGTCTGTAGCAAATGACGCAGCTGATTTCTGTGCCAGAGAATATCCAAAGTGCGCAGCTGAGCCTCAACGAGGATCACGTAGGTGGGCATCCCGGTCAACAGGGTGTCAATGTTGCTTCTGTGAAAGCGCAAATAACGAAGTTCCGCATCATTATGCAGCATGAAGATCAGACAGCCTATCAAAGCAATCCCATAATCCAAGCGTTGCCAATTGGATGAGGTGCTGGCATCGACTGGCCAGAAGATGTGATTGAAGCGAAACAGCGCCAGTGGCCAGGAGAGCTTCACCCGTTGGCCATCAGCCAGCCGAGGCACGTAACGAACCATAATCAAGACTATAAGTGACTTTAAGTAGATGCTTGCTTATATACGAGAAAGCCATTCATCTGTTCACACACCCAAAACAAAGCTATCCACTTTGGGGACTGCGCAGGAAACAGTTGCCAACTTTTTAATGAGCCCTCCCATGCGTGCGATGGCTCAATTAAGTTATTAGCCCAAAACAGAGCAACGGAAACAGTTCAAACTTTAACGACAATTTTGGCTCATTTACTATGTAATCGCTTTGTCCTCAAATATTTGAGTAGATTCTAAACTTGGCCAGCACATTTACCCAGGCATCGTTTCAAAAGTCAGCAGGCGATATATTCACAAGTCAAATTGAACAGCAAATAGGAGAAAATTTAATTTCAATTGCAGTTTGTGGTAAGTGAGCTGTTAAGGCGACTCGATCATTAAGTTAATTGAAAAACGCGGATCGAGTTCGAGCTGAATGTAGTATTCTGTGAGCAGAACGCGACATTGTATTAAAAAAAGTTGAGGTCATTTCTCAAAATTGTAATCGAAAAGAATGATAAGCTCATATTTCAATCGGTTGGACGGACAAACAAATATCAACTCAGCTCGTCGGCATGATCAAAATATACATATATTGTCATTTAAAGGTCGGCATACATCTTACTGCCAGTTATTGCAACATTTAGTTGTTACTTTCACATCGTATCCACAATATTAACTTTGGGGACAAATGGCTAAAGTTAAAACATTTTCTTTTTTCTCGGTCCTTGTTATACCCTTGTAGAAAGTATTACAATTTTGTCAAGACTTCATACTATAACATATTCTTGATCAATATCAACAGCCAAGTCCTTGAATTCCTGCCTGTCTGTCCGTCTATCCATTTCTGTCGTGACGCAACTTTGCAAAGATCCTTCCGTCTTACTTATCTTATCAAGAAGGATATTTTTCAAACAGTAATCAACGCATATGTACTTGTTTGCCAGTTTTAAGTTATGTGAAGTACTCTTGCTAAATTGATTTATGATGTTATTTCTTCTTCTCAGTATTACTGCACCAAAGCTGTTTTACTCTAGCCATTAACCGCATTCCTTAGTGTTTGGCACTCATCTTAGATGCCCTGTCCTACCATCTATTGCTACTCTCCATTACAAGCCCCAGTTCGTTCATTATTTGCTGCTGCATAAAAAAGTCACTTAAGTAATTCATAAAAATCAATTAGCTTCAACGCGCAACTTTTGCACCCAACGATGCCACTTTCATTCGCACTACACCAACGCCAAACTCCCTTTCCCCTGGCCCTGTCCCTGCTGCAGCTGGGAGCAGTCCGTCGCATTTGCGGCTTGGCAGCAGCAGATAGTGGCAACAGTTTGTGTTATGAATATTTTAAGAGACCGTTAAGCAACAGAGGCAAACAGCGCAAACAGCAGGAAAAAGAGACAAAACCTAAGTCTGACTGTCCATTCCCTCAGCACCCCTGATCCACTGTCCAGTGTCCAGTTGGAGCTGCAGTTTGCTCGCCACATTCATCTTAATTTCCTGTCACGACAATGACAACGACGTTGGCGCTGCTCAGACCCGGCACGTTGAATGTTCCACTCTGGACGCTGGTCAGGCCAAGTGTGCGTGCAGCAACAATGGAAGCCGCTCCTCTCGCCCCATCTCGTGACCGCGCCAACATAATCCACAAGCTACTGATTTTTTTTCTTCTATTTCTCTTTTTTTTCGAGCGCTTTTCAAGCCTTTGTGGCGGCTGTTTCACAGGCTGCTCTACAGGCAGCAGCGGGAGGGAACTCGGCGTTGAAACTGTGTCTAGTCCGTCTGGCTGTGCCCTTTGTTTTGCCTTGTGGCATCGCGTGGTTTGAGTTCATAGCGATGCCGAATGCCATCAAACGGCAAAGGGCCAAAAGCGTTTGTCCAGGCAACCAAAACGGCGGCATAAACAACGCACAAGTGTGAGTGTGTCTATGTGTATGTATGTGTGGCAATGGCAGCCCCTCTTCTCATTGTATGCGATGCTATCGCGTGCCACAGGATATTGCACTCTAAGCCAGTAGATGGCGTCATGTAAAGCTGGACAACATCCGATTAAAACTTTACGATGTGCGTGTATCCCAGTCGTCCGTGCGTGTATGTATGTGGGCGGTGCAAGTGTTTGTGTATGTGAGTGTAAATGGAAGTGTGTTTGTGTATGTGTGCGTTGGTCAGCAAGTGGATAAATTCTCATTTACTGCTCTTTTAAGCACGTTGTTTTTGTCGCTTTTTCCCTGCTTTGCTTGTCAGCTTGAAATGCACATATAAATGGGTTGGTATGTGAAGTTGTTCATCAATTTTGCAACACATTAATGGAGTCATCTCTAAATATTTGGTAATACATTTTTAGGTCGTAAATAAAGAAGAGGCAGGGGCTTTATGATAACAAGTTGGTGTTAATTCATTTTAATAGTTTTATGTTGCAGTTATGTGCTCTATTGGGTTTGAGAATTAATAAACAATAAAAGTCTCAATCGTTCCACCTAAAATGTGGCGTTATTAAAGTTAGAAATTGTAATTAAATCACACAAAACGTCATATTCGCGCTACAGCGGGTAACTTAAGAAAGCATATATTCTAATTGGTGTGTTCTTTTCCGAATTTTCTTGCAGTGTATTCACTCTTCGTTGTATTACTTCTCTTTCTACTATTTTTTTACTAAATGTGTAGCTGTGCAGCTGCAGCAGCGCCCTCTGTTGGCTAGTTTCAGCATGTGTGTAAATTGTCCACTCGTTATGTGGGTGTGCGAGGCAACTGCTGATGGGGGAGTTTAGTGTTTGGGGCAATAGCGCGGCATGTTAAACTGACCGCAAGCATTGTTTATCATTAAGTGTGGCCCTCCGTCCGTCCGGCCGTCCGTCCGTCCGTCAGTCCGTCCGTCCATTTGTCTGCCAGTTGAGCGTCTATGCTTTGGACTGGTGCCTGCCTTTACCGACTTGGTGTCACATGTGTCACATGACACATATGTCACATGAGTGTGCGTGCTGGCGGCTTTTTTTTCCAACTGGCCAAACATGTGTAGCGCGGTCCAATCTTCATGTAGCTGCAGCTTCCAGTTAATGGAGCCGTTAGTTCGTTGGTGTCATTATAAAGTCCAAATGAATTGCCCAACTTAAAGCACTCAAACAGTACATAAAGCAAACCAAATAAACTGTAAAGTTTTTCGGCCAACAGTGCCCTACCCTGCCCTTTGATATCCCGATGAGTGCAGCGAGTGCATGCAAAACTTTTGTAATTAGGAAGCAATGTCGGTCATTAGTAAGAAGGGAAAGGAGGGGCGGCACGGGTGTGGCTTCTGCAGTGGGTGGTGCCCATGCAACTGCTGTGGCTGCCAGTCAGAGAAGATACCACAAAAAAGCTCTAGCACTCAAAACAATAACGCAAATGTTCAGTTTAACCAAGCCCGTAGAATAACTCTTCTGGTGGCTACGAATTTGCAATACGCTTTATAAGTATGTATAAAATTGCAAGCCAATAAAATTGGCTCGAGCAAACCGCAAAATGCCACCAATAATTACCTTAGGGACATTTTCAGTTCACGTTACATAACATTTGATTCCGAGCATCTCTTGAATTTTAACCGCCACTTAATAATTTATTCAATATTTTTGATATCAATGCTTGCAGGCAGGCTTCTATTGTAAAATATATATTTTTCCATATTATAAATTCAAATGTAATCCCTTACGTAATTCATTTTAAATCATAGTAAGTACTTAAATATTTAATTTTTTTTGTTAAAGAAATAATATTTGATTGCAAGTATTATATTTTCTAAAGCTTAAGACTTTGAAGCTTGGGACTTTTTCCGGATGTATCGTAAAAGAAGGCAATAATTTGTATAAAATTATTATAGATTGAAGATCCATAATCCAAACGAGAAAATTTTCCACTAACCATGACTATTATACGTATGGCGTGATAATGTAAGTTAAGAATCAATCAAAAATTCTTTTAAGCAGACGTTGAAGCTGCCTGTAAGCGATCAGTGAGACAGTGGGTATGCCCAATTGAAGAGTCTTAATCAATACAGTCAAACAAAGAGCTACTAAACGAACTTGGGCGATGGCGACCAACATTTTGGCTAACAATACTCCAAATAGGAAAAGCAAAAGTCAACTTGCAAAGCAATGGGTAGCTGGGAGGGGGGGGAATGGCTGCGCAATTGGACGAGCATCAAACGTAATTTTAATAAAGTTTGAATGTAAAAGTTTCTGATTTGAAATGCATATAAAAGTTAACTATTTCCGACGAAAACTGCGAAAACTGAATGTGTGTAAAAAGTTTGTTCTTTTTTTACTTTTTTTTCTTGTTGCATTCATTGTGCCGATCACAGTGGCTGTGGAGGGGACGAGAGGGGCCGCCACATGGCTCAAACAAACAGCGGATGTGGCAACCACTGGTCGCGCCCCACGACTGACAAGAGGCGCCGCCGCTGCGCCTCCACCACACTGAGTCGCGTCAGGTCATGGTCATAAATTAAAGGCAACAAACCGAGTGCGGAAGCAGGCCGCAAACGGACAAGCGGAGAACGCAAAGAGGGAGGTGCGGTGCGGCGCAGACAAGTGGATTTGTGGCCATTACATCTTGGACCACGACGGCCTGGGACTGGCACAGAGCCTCGACTTCGGTTTGAAGCAGTACGGAAGCGCAAGCTGTGCTGTTAAGTAGCCTCGAGTCAACCAGTCGCCGTCCTGGCTAACGATCAACTCGTAACAACTGGCCCCAGGCCGGACTTGAAGTTTTTTCTTCATCTACTCTGTTTGGCCAGTGGACAAGAGCGACCGAAGCTGGATATAGTAGATGCAGCGGATGGAAGTGTTTCATTCCACCATCAGCTACATCAAACTCTCTCTCTCTCTCTCTCTCTCTCTCTCTCTCTCTTACATACTCTCGCTCTCTCTGTTTCCCCCTGCCACAGTGTCTGTGCAGTCGAAAGGACGTTTGCTTTGGCGATTCCGAGACATGTTAGCATAGCATGTGACTTGAATATTCATCTTTGAACAAGCAAAATGGCTCTAGCTGAGATTGCTTGACTACAAAATTCCCTGTTCCTACTTTGTACTCACTAATTTACATACAAACGAAGAGAAATATGTATTGCAAGTTTCTGCAGTGCCCAATCGACCAGCAGTATCTAGGTTCCTAATTAATATGGGAGCTTAATCTTCTTTAATAGAGAATACTTCTTGTCTTTAAATATTCCAAAGCTTAAGTTTTATGGTATAATTTCGCATTCACAGCTAAAACACATTGATTCCGATTTCTGAATTATTAAAAGATGTTCGCAATTTTAATTACACCTGCATTGGACATTTATACATAGTATTGAGGCGACTCACGTCAGCGAAGCTCAGAGCGCGCCTTTGCCCCATTTGGGACTGACCATCTGGGTCTAGAGCGATAATTGTTTCTTCTCCATTCTTCGAGAAGGCCTTGGAGCTGTAGTGCAGAATGCTACCATAATCATAGGGTGCATCGAAGTTTTCCACCCGGTCCGCTTCATACTTCTGAAAATTGTGTTCTTTTCCCTCAGTAATGTTTTCCTCCACAATTTTCACGTAATCGTCGCGATCCGCAGAACTTTGCTGATGATGGAATCCCAAAGTATGGAGCAGCTCATGCTGTATGGTGCCTAGTCGGAAGCAACCAGTGTCCAAATCGTTGGGCTTTAGCTTGACCGTCTGCTCGCTGCCGATGTAGCCAACCTTGGAACTGCAGCCAGTTGTGGAAACGGTGACCAACACATAGTCCACGGTATCCTCACTGGCAGGCAGGAAACGTATGCAAGATACAAGTTCAAGACGCCGCATTCCCAACTCAATATGTTGCATTTGTGCAGCACCTACGTAAACGTTGCTGATTTAAAGAAGAGAATCGCATGCAACAATTACGAAACCTACTGAAGTGCTCATCTATCTTGTAGTAGACTGTGGCATTAGGCCAGTGACGAGTCACTGCTAGTTCTCCATTCCGTGTGAGTTCCACATCCATGTCACCCTGGAAGTAGTCACCAGCAAGCTCTGGATCAATTGCCTCATACTCGTCCGCTTTAAGCGGTGCTCCACTAGCGCCAAGACACAGGCAACAGGCGAGCAACAGAATGTCAAACCGAATCGACATCGCAAGAATTTCCAACTAATCCGTATGAGTTTCACATTTAGCTAATTGGACTTTAATTATTTGCTTGCTTATCATGAAAATAGCTTATGTTTGATAAAGGTCTCGTAATCAGAAAACTAAGTGCTTCTTGTCATTTTATACCTATTTATATCCATTGCAAAAAGGTAAGAGGGTATATTGATTTGATATGTGACAGGCAGAAGGAAGCGTCTCAAATACAGTGCAAGTTTATGTCCGCGACAATCTCTGAAGGTATAAGAGCTCAAGGCATTTTCTTCCATAAAATCGAAAAAAATATTGGTATCCTCATTTTGAACATATATCGAATCATATAAGAGCCTGAAATAGGCCAAGGATCCAGAATATATATTATATATTAGAGAACTCTTCCCAAAAATTAAAAAAGTATCATATTTGTTCTTATTGCCATAGGCTTTGGCATGTGTGGGAATAAAACCCATAGTCTATACAAATGAAGGAAGCTAGAATATGTGTATTGTCGACTCTGCGCTGGGTTCTGGATATATCAAAGTCGGAAACCCCCGACGAAAACATTCTTAAATGTTTTATTGTTATATGTTATATGGCTAATATGTTGATTTAATGTGAGTTAGTCGGAAGATATTGCTTGAATTCAAAGGCAACTTAGCGACGCCAGCTTGGTCAATTGATTCAGTTAACGTGGATAGCTTTGATTTGTAACAAAAGTTGAAGTAAATAAACTCCGTCAGTACTTAAATGAGCATATCAAACTGTATATAATTGTTGCTCTGTATCCAAAGATCAATTGCGGGAAAGCATCCAAAATCTTTAAATGTATGTCTCTTACCTAAGAGCTTAAGTCGCCAATCCAAACAGGTAACAGTTTCATAGTCCCGATAAATCATAATAAAGTTAGAATAGTGAAGCTCGTAAATGCTGAGATTGATTAAAATATCTTGGGAAACAGAATTCTTCCCATAGAGCTATATAATATAGTTCGGCGATCTTGATAAGATTTAGCGCATATAAAAGCGAATACTTAAATTAGGTAGATGCCAGGTTTGGTCAAAATAACTTGATACACAAAATAGTTATTCACAACAGAACTCAATTTATGACCGATCGTTTCTTATATATAGCTTATATATATTATAGCTTAGTTAAATGGTGGTAGCTATGTGGCGATTCGGGTTTCAATTCATCTATGTAAAAATTTATTATAGACTTTCACATTGTTTGCAAAATCAATTCATATCTGATGAAGCTATGGGTCAAAGGTTGTCTAAAAGAAAGTTTATTTATCGGCTTTAAGATTCCCACAGCTAGACTGATTGATTCCTACTGTAATTTTTAGGATAGATGTATGCTACGATCATTGACAAATGCATACATAGAGCCAAAGCCACATATATATGTATACATAAGAAACAATCTGCCTGAGTTCTAACAGTTAAAGGGGCATTGATCAACATTAGTTTATTTCTGGTTTTAGCATTGGACAATTGTACATGTTATTGAGACGAGTCACATCAGCAGAGCTCAGACCGTCTCTTTGCCCCATTTTCGACTGACCATCTGGCTGACGTGCGATAATTGTTTCTCCTCCATTCTTTGTAAAGGCGTTGGAAGGGTAGTGCATAATACTCTCATAATCATAGGGTGCTCCAAAGTTCCCCAAACTATCCGCAGCATACTTCTGAAAATTGACGAGTTTCCCCGTACTAATGTTGTCCTTGACAATTTTTACGTAATCATCGCGGTCTGCATAATTATGTTGATGAAAGAATCCCAAAGTGTGGAGCAGTTCATGCTGTATAGTGCCCAAGCTGAAGCAACCCTTGCCTATAGAGTTAGGTACCAACTTAACTGTCGTATTGTGTTTGGAGTAACCAACTGTGGAACTGCAACCAGTTTTCGAATCGGTGATCAGCAAATAGTCACGGATTTCCTTAGGGGCAGGCTCAAAGGTTATACAGGACACCATTTCAATATTCCACATTCCCAGCTGAATAAATTTCTCTTGATGAGCAGCTGTGGGAACGTTGTTGTATTAAAGGTGAGAATATTATGTCGCAAGTAAGAAACCTACTGAATTTTTTTTTATCTATTTTGTAGTAGACTGTGGCAAGGGGCCAACGCTGAGTCGGTTGTAGCTTTCCATCCGGCGTATACTTTATATCCATGTCACCCTCGAAAAAGCCAGCATTTAGCTCCAGATCAGTTCCCAGGTTACCTTCACTATTGAACGGCGCTCCAACAACGCCCAAATACACACAAGCGAGCAGCAGTATGCCAAACTGAGTCCACATTGCAAACATTTTCAAATGATCCGTATGCGATTAACATTTAGCTAGAGCTCACTTAAATAAAACCTTAACCATGAATAATTGATTCACTTAAGGCTTTTAGATTTGCTTATATGATCTAATATAATATAATATAATATAATATAATATAATATAAATGCCGAGTCGATATTGCAAGAAATGCTTGCATCAAATTTAGCTGGAACTCATTTTAATAAAACACCTCTAACCCTGTGGTTGGTTGAATCATTTAACGTTTTGATCTATCTTTTTATTTGCGTTTGAATATTTTTTCTCTCTTTTCATAGCTTTTATCTCTATCTAATGATAATCCTAATATGCTTAATACTTACTTTACTACTAACACACTTTAATAGGCTTAATAGAATTTATCGTTTATGCACAGCTTAATAAACGAACTACTAATCAAAATTAATCATTCATGTCCGATTGACTGACCCGATACAGAATACATCGTATAATTTTCGACCGACTAAGTAACTGATCGAGTGAGTAAAATTACCGATTTAGTTAACTAATCACTGAGTAAGTTCGGTAGCTCATATTAATGACCCGGTTAAACGACTTTAGTCTGAACTAACACAACTCTATCAAGGAGAATGTGATTTCTAACAGGAATTCCCTATCGTATACATGAAGCCCACAAGTCCTAAGAATAAAGTCATTTCCAAGTAAACAGCAGCCCCGTAGATTTCCAGTCGCTCAGTTGTGGAACAATAGTTACAACACTTACTCTTCCAGATTAGAGACACGCAAAGAAACGCGCAGCTGTTCTCCAGCACTTGCTTGCAGTTCGGCCAGCTGTACTGATAAGCCTCAATTCATTTATCTTATCGCACTGGAAAGTGTGCGCTACAATCAACCGTCGAGCGTATCTGTCATCTGCTCGAACTTGTAATCTGTAATTACCAGGTGAAACTGGAACCGAACGTAGTCCACTCATAAGGCCAACTAATTGGAAGCAGCGCCGCACTTAGTCATGTTACGGGAGTGCGGAGCAAGTTATTCATTCAGTTGTTAGTCGAGAATCGAAAGGCGTTTCCGAAACAGATATTAACTAAAGAATAGATAAAACTAAAAACGAAAAAACGAGGGCATTTTACAAAATGCCCATTCAATAAGTGAATTACAACAACAGCCCAGCCCCCTCCATCGATGGCACTACAATGCGTGATCCAGCCAAAAATGTGGCTGGGCCTCAAGCAAATATTACTCTACGTGGGCTTGCTGCTGTGTGTAGTGCTCCAGGTGTGCCGCAGCAAGACCCAACTGCAGCTAAACTGTCCCAGCGTCTGCCATTGTGATCTCTATGCAGAGCGCAATCGCGCCATATGCAGGTAAATCTCGGAGTCTGTCCAGGCAGAGAAACATTTACCTTTACTTTTCATTTTAATATCTATTTGCGCAGCGCCAAACGCTTGATAAGTGCCAGCCTTGACATGCCCAAAACTGTGGAGCTTTTGGATTTAAGCTACAATGATATCACTACCATTGACGACGATTGTTTTGAGGTGAGTTTGAAACGTGACTAATTGCCGGCATAAAGGAACAATCATTAATATCTATGCGATGTCCCACACAGAGCACAGTGCATCTGGTGAATCTGACACTGGCCCACAATGCCATCCATACGCTGCACGTGAACGCCTTTGGGGAGCTGCGACGTCTGCGCTCGCTGGACCTCTCCTACAATCGGTTGGAGCAGATTGATGAGCATCTGCTGGAAACTAATTCACAGCTAATGCATGTTAGTCTGGCGGGCAATAAGCTGGCCACACTGGGCGATTTTCCACTGCTGCGAAGCACTTCGCTGCGTACACTTAATTTACGCAATGCACAGATCAATCAGCTGGGGCCGGAATCGTTGAGCGCCTTGCCACAGCTGCGCCAGCTGGATCTGGCCCAGAATATGCTGCTCACTCTCAACATTAATGTTTTCCATGCGCCACGTTACTTGGCCTCGGTCAACCTGGACGAGAATCCGCTCAACTGCGACCGTGCTTTAATTAAGGTCGCCACTTGGCTGAGTTTGCGAGGTGTCACCGTCAGTATGACCGATTGCCTGGAGGAGAGACTGCCGTCCCATCCACTGGATGTGCAAGTGGACGGGGCATTTGAGGAGCCACCCAAACTGGAGCGCATGGAGAACCTGGAAAGCGGCAGTAGCAGCTCTGACGGCCCCAAGTCTGTGGTGGCAGTCTGGCGCGAACTACCTGATGATTCAGAGGAGCAGCAGCAGGAGCAGGAGCCGGAGGAGGAGCTTTCAACACTTATCGATGTGTGTGAGGGAAATCGCGAACAACTTTGCCTGCGCTATCGCAATTGCCTGGAGCGGGTCAGTCACGAGCTGCTCGCCGGCAGTGCCGCTCAGCCACCAGACCAGGTGAAAAGCACGCACATCTTCGACGAGGACGATGTCAAGCTGGCCTTTGCTGTGGGTGGCGCCACTGGCATCTGCATGGTCATTTTCATAATCAGCTTTGCTCTGTGCATAAAAAGCGGCTGCGAACTGAGAAGGAAACGTCGTCAACCGGCAGACGGCGAGACAAGTGAGTAGCAAAGTTTCTTTAGAACTAAGCTTTGACATCAGAACAGGTGCGTGTTACAGCAAAAACAGTTTATAAGTAGCCAGTTAGCAGAGCTTTCAGATCAGAGTCATTACCTTTGTTATAAGATGAGTTGACTTAGTCGCCCATTTACTCAGCCACCTGACAAATAGGAATCCGTGTCGAACCCCAGGCTGGTCCATTAAGGTAATATGGAATTAGCTGAACAATATAGCTATCGGTGCTTTTAGAATCTTTATGATAGAAAAATAACATTTTTAATAATAATAATAATAATAATTAATTTATTCCGTATTCTTGAGATTTTTAATCGTTTCCCTGTTCTTTTATAGCCACGTTGGACTCCTCGCAACAGCAGCTGCCCACGATTCATACTTGGACGCCTTCGACAATTCGCAATCCTCGTCGTTCTAATCCGCAGCGTTCACGGAACGCTCCCTCACGTGCCCTGGTACGGCAGCCGTATGGACCCGATGATAACTTTGTCTCGCGCCTTTTTGGCCGCCCGGCGAGGCGTCAGTACTATCGCAGCATAAACCAGAATACGGCGACGCTAATTAGACGCCTGAGTCGCAGTAATCTTTTCAGCACTCGCGATCGGGAGCCAAGTAGTCCGGAAACTCCGCCCGCAGCAACTGCAAGATTCTACACGGACATTGTGGAAGCTGGAGCAGTTCGACCGGAGACGCCTCCACCCAATTACGGGGATGTGGTGGTCATCGATAATTGTGATAACAAATAGATATCGAGCCAAATCGTGCTCCCTGAAATACCCAAGCAGTAGGCATTATCTAATAAATCTTTAAGAAAGACTTAAGGCAACATCTTTATAGTTTACAGCGGCATTTTTTTGTTTCATACCAAAATATCAATTGGGGATTCCTTTTTTCTTCTCTCTTTTTTTGTAGCATTACTTTTACACGACTGCAACAAATCGCAATAAAAACTTTTGACAAAACTATCAAAGTTGGCATACAACGGGAACAGGAAGAGACTGTGAAATTGCCACAGCCAAATCTTCTCCACCTCCTCCCATCCAGCCTTAAAAAATTTTTCAAGAAAGAAAACTTTACACACTCAAATAAATGCAAGCGTGAGGCGTGTGCAAGAGAGGACAGGAAATGAAGCGAGGGGTCGCCAGGCTACCGGATGTAGCAAGACAAATCGAAAACGCCACAAAAGAAAATAAAACCCCAAAAAAAAAGCCCCAGCGAATACTGGGCAAAACCAAACAATTTGCGCTGCAAAGCAGCAAAAGTGTCTCAAAAGAATCAACCACTAAAACTAACCCAGCCAAGCCATAAAACACGTAAGAGTCCTTTAGCTGAGAGCACCCAACTAGACGACACCCTGTATACACCCTTTTAAACACACACACACACACACACACACACAATTACGCTGCACAAAAACGCGTACTCTTGCTTTAACCTCACGCTTTTGCATATGCAATCTTGATTAACTTCGCAGCATGTAGACCGATCCTTGAAAATTGTTCAGGCCATGAAAATTTCATAGAAAAGAGTTTAATTTCCAAATTCGAGGACTATACCCCAATTTTTTGTTTGTTATTCAATTTATAAGGATATTAACTAAAGTGAAATATTCTCTATATTTTTAAATACAGATAGACTAGAATATATACTCTTTGGATTCGGAAAGCTTCCTTTTGCTTATTACAAATATTTCTACAATACGATCATACCCTCTTTCCCATTTCAATGGGCACAAGGAATGTAGAAGATAAAAAATTTTCTAGCAAATAAGAGTATTGAATACTTATGTATTTTTAAGCACACTGAAAGATTCAGTATTAAAACATTTTTGAAGTGACCTAAATAGGGACTTCGATACTTATGCCACTTTATGCTATTTTTATACGCAAAGTTTACAGGTTACAAAACTACAAATGTACAAATAAATTCTTTGTTTAATCCGAAATATTGGGATTTAGAGATGGGCTCAAACTTCAAAATTGAGTTTCGTTTGGGCTCGAACACCAACTCAGAAAAAGCTTACTGAAATATTGGGACATAGCTGAATGTGGCAGTTAATAATTTAAAGAAACTCCTCACTCACATATCTATTAAACGAAATCCAAAAAAGTGAAGTGGAAAAATAAAAATTTAATAAGTGTTTTTGGAGTTTCTTGTCGGACTTTCAAAAAACTGTCCATGTCCAGGCGTTTGTAAGTGCATAACTCGCGCTTGTTCCTTATATTTGAAGGATGAGCATCGACGAAAATCTGATTTATAACCAAAAACTACCCAAAGGAATATAAAGCTAATATACATTTCCAATCACCTAGCTATATGTTTGGGCACAACGCGGAATCTGGCTATCTAGATCAATCTAAAATTATCTTAATGCGCAGAGAACTCATTTCTATTGCAACGAAAAAAGTTTTTGTTGCCGAATTTGTAGCAACCT